CAAATCCTTCCAGCTAACACACGCAGCAGCAGTTATGTGATTTATCAGTACTGTACGTTTATTTCACGTGTTGCATCCTGGTAGTTTCTGTGCTGTAGTGACGTGATACACAGCGCGGCTATAGAAGAGTGCGCGCTACGAGCACGGTATAACATCTGGCAGGACAGGATAGTTCGCTTTTCTGAGCTGAGAGACTTTTTATTTCATAAGTTACGAAAATAATGATAGAGTAATGACACTGACATTAAGCCTGTCAACATCTCATCTGACCGCAGATACTGAATGGGGACAGCGTGTTTTTCTCAGGCGCTCTTTACTTAAACTGCGTCTGACAGAAATGTCAACAGCTTCATGCACGTCTTCTCGCATCAGAAAAACTGATAGAATTACGTTTTTTTGTTGTTGATGTCGTTTCTTTGGCCGTACACTCTGCGACCCACCAGTTGAGAAACACTGGATAGACGACACGAATCCATGGCATCTGTTCAGTGTTCGTAGTGCTTATTGTTTGCAGTGAGGTTATAGCACACAGTTCTCAGTGTTGTTGTCCTGCACTGCAGACCCAGCGAAACCACATTTCACTCTACACTTGTGCACAGCTGGAATGACAACAAACTTGATTCATGTGGAAAGAGAGGCAAACAGTCTCTCTCTCTCTTATATACACACACACACACACATCTTGTGGAAATACCTTTAGCTGACGGGATTATCAGTTACTCTTCATAGGTCAGTCAATAATCATTGTGCTGTTAAATGTTTCTCTTCTGTGGTGCACTAAAATCATTGACTGAATAGAGTTATGATGGTTCAATAATGAACATTTTGTTCAAGAGATCAGCTCATTTGCAACAGTACGAGGCAAAAAAAGTTTTATTACAGCAGCTCTATTAAAGAGAAGAGATGGAGAACTAAACACAGGAAATGGCACAAACTTGAGACAATATTGAGAAGCTGCTCTTCTGTGGAGCTGTTAGAGGATGTATGGGTCTACTCTGATATACTTTGGAGACAGAATCGTCTCTGGAAGTGAGCTAAAACTGGCAAACCCCATCTTTGGGCATGGCCTGGAAAGGTAACAATGATTTCTAAATGTTTCAATTATTATTTAAGGTTGGGGTTAATCTCAGCCACAAATGGCAAAAGTTGTTACTAGTAGGGCTGTCAAAAAAAAATTTGAATTTCGAATATTCGTCGAATTTATAAAAAAAAAATCCACAACATAAAAACGTTGCATTCGAATTTAAGGTCTGCGTCAGGCAGCCTTATCAGTGGCGCACGAGATGCGATGACGATGTATGTGCCATTGATTGAATGCTTTTGTTATCCTATCCAGGTGAACCCACTAGATGCGGCGCTGCTACGTTGTTCATTCAAAATATTGCGGAAAGAGAACATCAATGTGGAAAAGATGTTGTTTACGTCAAAACTGAAACCAAGCCGTTCACACAGAACGCATATTTATCGCATTTTCGCATTCGAATTTAAGGTCTGCGTCAGGCAGCCTTATCAGTGGCGCACGAGATGCGATGACGATGTATGTGCCATTGATTGAATGCTTTTGTTATCCTATCCAGGTGAACCCACTAGATGCGGCGCTGCTACGTTGTTCATTCATATATTGCGGAAAACGAGAGCATCAGTGTGGAGATGTTGTTGTTTACGGCGAAACTGAAACCTAGCCGTTCACACAGAACGCATATTTATCGCATTTTCAAGAGGGACATCTATCAGCGTTGCACTCGCGTCTCGCACAAGAGAGTGGCATGTTTAGAAAGCCATGTAAAATTTATGTAAGTTCAACTTTTAAAAACATGTCTTGAGACTTTATGGCGGTTTTCCCCCATCCCACTGCATCTCTGCTTTTAAATGAAGAAGTACTCTTTGTGATTGGTTTTCGGTCCTTTGTATTAAACTATACGTACATGCATGATGCCGTTTTGTTTCTATTTTGTTTAAGCAACTTAATTAATTATATTAGGTTTATAAACATTATTTTAAGCATTATGCACTTTTTTTCAAAGATAGTTGTGTTATTTTATTACGCTTTGAAGAAACGTGCATTAGTAATATTTTGCTCGATGCGCCCTCTTGTGGCCTCAGGAGAGAAGCCATAAGATATTCTTCACCCTAACTGAAATTATGCATTTTAAATTAGAATATAATTCGAATATTGATAATATTGAAGTACAAAATTGGAATTTAGTTTTCCAGTCATTTTGACAGCCGTAGTCACTAGTCTGATTGACGCTTTGTACACCATCTGGGTGTCAGGATCCGCTTTCGTTTGAGGTTCTTAGTATTTAGTTAAGTTTGTTTCTGTTATATCTGAAAAATCTGTTCTTATTATATTTGGACAGGTCCACACACCCTTCTGTTATTTTAGTCTTTTCTATGCAAGCGTTCACAGAGACTGCCACAGCATGATTTGATTGATGGCCATCTGTCATTAGCTTGAAGAAGATGCAGTGTGGACCAGACTTTAGACCAATAGCCGAAAATCTGACTGCTTTAAACTAGTTGAGGATTTGTCTGTAGTCTTTCTAATGAGCACGTTTTAAGCCTATGATCATGCCTTGTTTAGATGAGATGGCATTAGATAAACGTGCGTTGTGTGGTCCTGCAGATGAGCTCTAGGATGTCAACAGTGAAACTTGTTATTCTGGTCCCAGACGTTTTATTTCCCAAACACAGCTCACATGAACACACCTGCACATTTCCAGAATAATGTCCTGCTGGCCTACAGTCCTAACTATATATCCGTTATTAAACTGATTTACGTCTCATCAAGTACACTGTGACACATTTCAGATCGCTGTGAGCCAAAAGTGAGTGAGTCAGATGCGCATTTAATAAGAGTCTTGAGTGATTCAGCGAGTGAGCGACCTGTGTTGTTATATCAATGATTCGGACCTTCATTTTTGAAAAGAACCAGCTCATAAGAACTCTAAAACACAATACAATGCATAATTCACAATAAATGTAGAACAACCGATATGGTTAATTCATGTCATCACGGTTCATTCACTGAAAAAAAAAAAATAATCAAGAAGTAAAATTTACTTAATTTTTATTTTACTTAATTTCATATTTTTTAAGTGAAATTTGAGTATGGAATTAAGTAAAAATCTACTCTTAACTAAGTTATGTAAAATTAGCAAAGGTAATAAGTAAATTTAACATGACCAGTTAGAGTTTGATGAGTAATTTCTACTTAATTATATACTCAATATACATTTCACTCAGTCACGGTTTGTAAACTTTACTCAAACAACATAGCACTGAAAAAAAGATGCCATTAAAGCATGTGGTTCACTTACAATCACGAATGTAAGCAAGTAGACAGCTCCTTATTCTTTTTGGGGTGATATGTTTACTCAATATAGTTATTAACTGAATGAACGCAGAGATCTGAATACTTGACACATGATACACAAAGACGGTAATAATCAGAGAATAGTGTTTGAGTATGAATGGGTCATTTTGAATAAAAAATGAACTCCAGATGTCACAAAACAGCAAGTTACTTAACCTAACAACAAAAGTAGGGCTGCACGATAAATCGCATGCGATCTTTAATGCGCATCTTATGACGTGATGGAGATTTACCGCTGATTACAGAACCGGCTTTACTGATAAGATGCGCGTTAAATATCGCATGCGATTTATCGTGCAGCCCTAAACAAAAGCAACCATAACACAGTGTAAATGCATCTCGAAAACAGCAAAAAATTTACCTTATTAATTATTCATGCCCAAGTGCATGATGGGAACAATGGGATCATGACTTTGATGTTTACTTAAACAATATTTGTAAAAATAACAAACAATTCCAAGTAAAATATACTTATAAGTTAAAACTTTAAATTCTACAAGCTTAAATTGAGTACTAATATTGAATTTACTCTTTTTTATTATTTATTTTTTGTATTTGTTTCTTGCCTGAACTGAATTATTTAATGTAGAAATTACATTTGTTTTTCTGTAGTATTTGCTTCGCTACAAAATAATTTTAATCAGTGTTGGGACCAATTTTGATGGACTTTTCTGAGAGTGTTTAGTTGAGACTGTGAACTCCTGACTGCATCACTTTACTTCTGCACTGACAAAATGTCACGGAAATCATTCCAATGCATTTTATTATTAAATGGAACCATTTCTCAATTCCCAGCCCAGAGTGTATTGTCATGGTTGTGAGAGTGTGAGTGTTTTGTTTTGTTAGGAATCAAGGTCAGTACTATGAGCAGATTGGTGACATGGCAGCCAATTAGATTGACACACACACACACACACACACACACACACTCACACACACACACTCACTCACACACACACACTCACTCACTCACACACACTCACTCACTCGGGTGGAGGTGTAATCTGCTCTAATGCAGAGCTGCGGAATCCTGTTTGGCATCAGCTTAAACCATTGCACACACTTCAAAACACGGCTAATCTCCTCACGAACCAGCTGTTTCTCTGTCCTCTCTGGAGCACTGGAATGTGACTGGTCAGTCTTGGCATTCAGCGGGTCAGATATTTTTATATAATGATGCTAAACTGTTGTCCCTAGCTGATTTCCTACATAACTGTTCTAGTTTCATGTCTCTCCTGTTGCATTGTGCTCTCTTTCTCCTCATATAATGAAATCATTTACACTCGGATCAATCGTTCATGTGTGTGTATTTACTGATTTGGTAAATGAGCAGCTGTGTAATGAGAAGTGTGATGCACAGTCACTGTGCAATAAACAAGATACGAGATCACGATGCAACTCTTGTGTTTCCTGGTGTTTACTCTCAGAAAAAAAGGTGAGAAAGCTCAGTCCCAGTCATTTTTTTTTCTGAGAGTGTAAGAAAACGGATTTAAAAGTAAAATGTTGTGTCTAAGTTTCTGAAATCCAAGTATTGAACGAGTCCTAGTGGTACTGGATTCCCGTTTCTCACGCTGTGGGTGTCACACGGAGCTGATCGTCTTGGTGTTTGTTTGTGTTCCTCCAGAGCGACGGAGATGATCTTGGCTCGAGCTCGACAGCTGGCTGATGTTAAGAAGGAAGATGGGTTCTCTGCTCTGCATCTGGCCGCCTTGAACAACCACCGGGATGTAGCTGAGATTCTCCTCAAAGAGGTGTGAGAGATTGACCTCAGAATTAACTCCAAGAATACTGTCTGCTTAAAACATGGGCAAAATACACGTACAGTCATACACTTACGATGGATGTCGAAGAGGAAAGTGTACAGCAAATTACAGAATTGTTTTGAAAGTATAACAATAATGCTTCAACAAGTCTAAAAATCTGATCTAATGAATCGCTTACCAATCTTTATAAAGTTATATCCAGACTCTTGTCCCAACAAAAAAAAAAATTAGATTTCACAAACTCTACCACGTGAATTACATTTATCAGAAATGTAGTCCCACCTGTAGTTACTGAATTTTAGTTGAGAGTAACAAAATCTTTCTGCTTTTAAACCCCCAGTGCTCTTGCCCAATAAACTCTCAGTATATGCAGACGCACACTATAAGTTATTTTTGTGTTAATGCCACAGTTGTTTTCAGTGTATTATGTGACAACCTGGCTATTTTAAGAGCTTTATTTAACCCCCCTAACTTGAACAACATTCATACTCTCACTTTTTGCCCTGTGTGTTGTGTTTAGCGTGAGCAATACAATATTTGATTAACTGAGTTTGCTGCCATCTGGTGGCTGGTGGGTTATATGCGTTTATTAAATTGGAATATTTTGTAGGTATTTGAAGCTGAACAAAAATAAATGTAATCCCAGGAATTTTTTCTGTGCTTCAGAATGTTGATGATATTTTTATCTACACATTCAAACTGCAATAACACAAACAGAATTCATCAGTTGGCGCAATTTATTTTTGCCTACAAAAATATAAGCAGATGCCTTTAAATCAAAACATATTTAAAGGGATAGTTCACCCCAAAATGAGAATTCTGTCATTAATTACTCGCCCTCGTGTGGTTTCAAACCCGTAAGACCTCCGTTCATCTTCAGAACACAAATGAAGATATTTTTGATGCACTCTGAGAGCTCTCTGACCCTCCCATAGACAGCAAGGGTACTACTACGATCAACGCACAGAAACATAGCAAGGAGATCGGTAAAATAATCCATGTGACATCAGGGGTTCAACCGTAATATTACAAAGCAGCAAGAGAATACTTTTTGTGTGGAAAGAAAACAATAATATCAATGTATTCAACAATTCTTCTCCCCGAGTTACTTTAACAAAAAGTATTCTCGTAGCTTCGTAAAATTACTGTTGAACCCCTGATGTCACATGGATTATTTTACCGATCTCCTTGCTATGTTTCTGAACCTTGATCGTGTTAGTATCCTTGCGGTCTATGGGAGGTCCGAGAGCTCTCAGAATGCATCAAAAATATCTTAATTTGTGTTCCGAAGATGAACGAAGGTCTTACAGGTTTAGAACAACATGAGGGTGAGTAATTAATGACAGGATTTTCATTTTTTGGGTGAACTATCCCTTTAAGCTCAGTTCTGTGTGTCAAACTTTTGCCCGGCAGTGTATTTGTAACCTGACCTATTCCTGCCCTCTTTGGCGTTAAGGGTCGTTGTGACATCAACATCCGCAACAATCGCAATCAGACGCCGCTGCAGCTGGCTGTGACTCAGGGTCACGTGGCTCTAGTGGCCCTGCTGGTGACGGAGGGGGCAGACGTCAACGCAGAGGATGAGGATGGAGACACAGCCATGCACACGGCTCTCAGCCGCCAGCAGCTGGCCACCGTCATGAGCAGCGGCGAGGGCGAAGGAGCGCTGCTCTACAGCAGGGTAAGAGCCGTGGACAGAGTGACTGAGAAAAAACATCCAGTGCATACTAGAATACTGCACACTGCATAATGCATGGTATACCCTAGAAAAAAAAATCATAGTAAGTATACTTCAAATCCATTAACATATTTATTGACATATCACTTAAGACTTGCTGATAAAAAAATATATATATATTTAAACTTTATTTGGTGCAATTTTTTAAACATTGCAGAATTCTTAATATGTGACCCTGGACCACAAAATGTATTTGTAGTATACTTGGCACTAGGGATGCAACGATACTGGTATCGTTATCGGGCCCGATACTGGTCTCCTGTACTCATACTCATACTCGTTAAAATGCCCCGATACCAAACGCCGATACCACACAGCATGTGATAAGTGCCATATTCAAACAAAGAAACACCGACAACAGAACAACAGACAGCAGAATGGAGTTAAGGATGTCTACTACGAAGTATATGTATGCAGTGAATATAATGTTAAACATTCAGTATTGCCTTTAAAGCTGATGTGCGCGAGCTGATAAACAAAGCACGCTGAGTGGATTGAGTGCACGGCGGCGCAGATGCGCGAGCTTATCGAGTGAATATACCTTTCTCACAGACATCACTGGAAAGGTTGTAGTTCGGTCGGATATGTCAAAAACAAGTAAGTAAAGCAATGCACAAGTTACTTAACGGTATGGAGAGAGAGAGAGAGCGCGCACACTTCTGTTGTGTGATCTTTGATGTTCACTCACTTAGCACAAAGTTAACCAACTAACATTATACATACCCTTTTGGTTTCTGTACCCAATATTTAAAAAATTTACAAATGCAATAAAAATATCGGTATCGGTACTCGGTATCGGCAAGTACCAAAAATAAAAGTATCGGTATCGGGCGAGTACTGGAAAAAGTGGTATCGGTGCATCCCTGCTTGGCACAAAGTAAATGTATTTCAAATACATTTTAGTATTTTGTTTTTCACTAGGTTATTTTATTTGTGTCACAATCAACTGGGTGATATCTTATTTCATTGTATAAGTAATTATTAAGTCCAAAGAAACAAATGATAAGAAATATGACAGATAAATACAATAGAACAAAGACACAAATGAAACAATGAGTGTGTTTGCATGCATCCTCTTAATGCAATTATAATGAGATTTGCCGGATTTCCATCCAAAGTTGCGAATTTAACTTATACGCAAAACTGGAATATCGCATAAAACATTTGCAAACTAGCATCGTTTCCATCCAACAAGTCAAAGAGAACAAAATTGTCACTTCCTAATAAACTGGCACTATAAATCACTAAGAAAAGTAGGAGAATATAATAATTTTCATATAATAATTTTATATTATATTCATATTATCCATTTTCATATATACTAAATTACTTGCACCTTTACCTCATGTAAATGCAATACTTTGATCTAAATAATGTGATTTTGCTCATAATCGCAGCAAGCATAATCATATTAACTTAGGTAATGTACGCCTATTTTAATCAAAATATGCAGGCATATAAACACCTTAATCGCAGTATTGCCGCTCTGACCAAAGTGCACATGCGCTTGTGACGTAAAGAAAAACGTGACACGCACCTGCAGTAATACAGTTGCTCTGCTCGTGTTCATCAGGAGTTCTCTTTTCACAGCAGTTTAGTACATTGGATGTTGGTTTATTTCGAGTCAGTGTCAGGATATCAGGAGATTCAGGCATGCTAAAAAAGTGAATAACTTAAGTAATTTGTGTATTAGTGCTTACTGTAGACGCGAACCGTTTCAAACGATTCAGTCCGATTTGGTGAACAGGTTCGACCAGTTCACTAAGAAGAACCAGTTAAATAGAACGATTTGTTCGTGAACCGTACATCACTAATACGCAGATTGGAATCGATGGCGGGGAAGAAAGCATCGCATTTCTGGGGAACCGAGGAAACCGAGTTCAAGTTGTCGACGTAAATAAATTAAAACAGCGGCCATTTAACACACCTATACTCTTTCTTAGTCCATCATTTGTGCTGTGCAGTGGCGTATGTGAATAATGGCGGTAAAAAACTAGCCACAATTCTTAGCGCATAATACAAATAATGGAAATTGCATGTAAACGGAGCTTTGCTCATGACATGTAAACATCATAATGTGATTAAGTCCTTGCTCTGATTATCGGAAATAATCGCATTATTCGTGCGCATGTAAACGTAGTCATTGTCACTAATCACTAGAAGGGCTGTTGCAAAGTGGGACCTCTCCATGGTTCCTGGAGACTTTGTTTCAACAGCCTTTTGAGCTTCTGTCTTTAAGACAGCCTTGCTTCTGGCCGTGGCTTCAACCAAATTGGTCAGTAGGCACGTTTCCATTACAGATTTTCGCAAAACTTTGGAGAAATTTTATAAATGTCGATAAAAAGGTATTGCGAATTGTTATGCGACTAAAACGTAACTTTTTCTCTCGCAATAAGTCATGGCAACGGATTTTGGTGGGATTTTGATGGATTTTGGCTATATTTATTCGAAGGAGGCATATGCATCTATCTTTACTGAAGCAAAGCAGAGAGCCGCTTCAGAAACATGCGTGGCACGGCTGGTATAAACAGGCATTGGACTAGAGTGGCCGCAATCTGCTTCAGTGGCCGAATCAGAGCCACACTGCACTGCAAACATGTGCAGTGTAAATTGTCCAAGCATTGATGGCAGGGAAAGCCACGTATGAAGTGTTTCTTGGATGTTATAGTGCATTGAAGAACGATCATATTACTTTTTACATACGCCATGTGACCTGTAAATGCGAAAAAAAGTCTCCATTGCAGTTCTGCGAAATATTCCATATTCGAATTGCCTGAAAAACCACTTCATGCAAGCGTAAGAACTTTTTTGCGATATATGGGTTTTTTTGCAAAATTGGCGCATTTCCATTAGGCGTATTTTCAATTCGCAATTTTCATTTGTGCAATTCGAAGGGTAATGGAAATGCAGCTAGTGATTTGCATTGTACTCTCTGTTTATTCCTTGTGCACTACATTCTCTTTCGGTGCAGATACGGTTTTTCTTAGGCCCAACCTAACACTAATGCCTAAGTGCTTCCCAGCATGCACACACGTAAGGTCATCGAGCTTTCCTCTTTCTACCCACCGCCTTTCTCCTTTGTGCAGGGTCAGAGGTTGAATGCTCTATGTCCTCTGCATACCCTGTGAAGGGTTTAAATGGATAACTCTTTCATTGTCTTATGGAATCTCTGTCATTGGCAAATTAATATAAGCAAGTTGCTTCAGAGTACACTAAACTCTGTTTAGAAGAGTTTCATTGCAGGAAATTGCAAGCTGGGTTTGTCAGACACTACTGGCTTGATGTTCATTCTGTCCTGGAGTATATAGCCTTGTTCTCTTAAGCAATCAATTCCTCCCCAAGCCTGGGCTGTCAAACTCTGCTTATTCATGTCACTACGTCTTTATAACTTTGCATTGCACCATTTTCATTACTACGTGGGTTGCCGGGTTTAATTATGTATGTGTATTACTACATGCCATTCACACTCTATCTCCACCCATGTAGCACTATCATCTTTGTGTAATGTTACCAGACTTTATCTTTGCAGGTGACTGACCCCTTGCTTTCAGGGCCTCTCTGTGAATGTATTGGTCAACCAAGAGCTGTCCATAGGTCCCATAATTGGATCTTAAACACAAGATAAAAGATTAAAACAATAGGTTACTATTTGTAACCACGGTTCTCTGAAACATAGAGTGGAGAGATCCACCAAGATTGCTGCATGAGACTCAAACAAGCTCACTGAAAAAAGGTAGTTTGTGGAGGTCCTGTTATGTGCACATGGTCCTATACCTGGAATTAGGCACACGCCCATGTCTGTCAAGCCAGACTTGGTGTCATTTGATGCTTCTGCAGAGATCAGGTACGGATGCTCTTCCCATCGGTGGATCTCTCATTTCCTTGTTCCAGAGAATCGGGGTTACTAATGTTAAACCATTGTTTCTTACTGTAGTACACTACATTACTGCCTTGTGAGCTCACTGTTGCACGCTTAAAGATGCAGTAAGGGATTTCTGAGAAACACTGCTGAAAGTGGTAATTGTTGATAAAAGTAATGATTCATAAAAGAAGATAAAAAACCACAGTTGCTTTCGCTTCTGGTGCATTTGTCACTCTTGAACTGGAAGGCCAATCAACCACTGCATTGTGGGACACAGTATTCCACGCAGTGTTCTCTGCGGTCTGCTGTATGCTAAGCATTTTGGTAAATGTAGTACGTCATCTATGTGTTTCATGTAAAAATTCACATACTGTGCAGAAATAATAGAAGCCTTGCACACCAGAGTAGCGTTGTCCTGTTTTCCAGTGTATATGTGTGCTGCTGTACAGTATAATTAAGAGAGAGGTAATCAATGCGTGTTTATTCCTTCCTTCCTTTGCGTGTAGTTGTGTAGCTCAGGGCTGATGGGAAACACGGAGCTGAACGTAGGAGCTGCTATCGCTTGCTTCTTGGCACAGGAAGGGGCCGATATCAGTTATGCCAACCATAAAGGTAAAAGCCCACTGAACCTGGTTGCAGACAGCAGTGTACAAACTCTCATCAGGAGCTTCGCAGAAAAACACAGGTGTGTCTCAGTGTATTGATTGTGGCGCTCACTAAAAGAGGGATTAAAGAATGAACAGATGTGATCTTGTGTGTTCAGGCTTCAAGCCGTCACGTGTGGCACGGGCACGAGCAGCAGCAGTCTCAGGCGAGTGCACACTACACCCAACACCATGACCAACCTGGCCATGCCCAGCGCGACGGGCCCCAGCGAGTGCCTGATCTGCTCCGAGCTCGCTCTGCTAGTGCTGTTTTCTCCATGTCAACACAGCGTCGCCTGCGAGGGTGAGCTTACTGATCGATGAAAAAACAAGTCCCGACCTTTGTTGTTGTTTGATCAAAACGTAGTTTCACTCTGAAATACATCACAATACCCTCCTGAGAACCTGGGGAAAAAGCTTTGTGAATTTAGTGTTTTTTTCATGTCATTACATTGTTTAGAGCATAAGAAAAAAATGGTAATTAACATTTTTTTTTGGAAAATGATATTTTATGTCTATGTTATGCTATGTCCTCTGTAGAGGACACCAGGACTCAGTTTCTCTCAAAATAAAATGACTTGAATAGACATGAAAAGGCAAAAACAATTAGTTTTTTTTTTTAAATCACCAATCAATTTTTAGGTTTCAGGATTTTTTATACCAAACTTTAAGGATGATTCTCAACTATGTTATAAAATATATAACTCAAAGATTTGATATAGCATTTTGCTTTATGCGATGTGTGTGTAAAAATACCATAAACTGGTTTTCCTATTAAACACAATGTTATCTATACACTGCATCTAATTTGCATATTAATGTGCTGTTGGGACAGCATGTTGAAAAAATGGGAGTAGTAATTGGCCAGATTATGAACATGGTTTAGCGCAGCTTGTCGGTGAACAACAGCTCTGTGTAGTAAATGCTGCTCCATGTGAAAGCATGCTAATTACAGAACCGACTTTACTAACAAGATGCGCATTAAATATCGCATGCAATTTATCGTGCAGCCCTACATCTAATATTTCATAAGAATATTGATATATATTTTGTTTTCCTATTCAATTGTTTTGTCTCCCAAAATGTGTAAGAAACATGCTTTTAGTCCTGGTGTCCTCTTCAGTGGACAAGTATGAAATGATGTTCTGTTTCATAACAGGAAGTCATATTTTGATTTGAAACCCCTTAACATTTTCCTGAGATTGATCCTGTTGATTTATGACAAACAATTTGAAAATTAATACAATTTTAATTATAATCGCAAAATATGATAATATTTCCATAAGGATGTACAGGATGTAGCACTGCATCGCATGTCTCCGTTGAGAAGAGGAAGTGGTGGTTGTTGCTGGTTACTGTATGATGATTGAAATCATGAAATGGCCTCAAACAATTAAAGAGGTCATATGATGTTGCTAAAAAGAACATTATTTTGTGTATTTGGTGTAATGCAATGTATTTATGCGGTTTAAGGTTCAAAAAACACATAATGTACATTATTGTTTCTCCTCTATGCCCCGCCTTTCTGAAACGCGTCGATTTTTACAAAGCTCATCGGTCTGAGAAAGCGAGGTGTGCTGTGATTGGCCAGCTATCCAGTGCGTTGTGATTGGCCGAATACCTCAAGCGTGTGACGGAAATGTTACGCCCCTCACATACTGTGATGCTCTGTCCGGCCGGAGCGACGAGACAAAAACATGAAAACCCATTACAAACGAGGCATTTGTTGCATCCAGTGGGGACATAATTACTGATTATAATGACTTATACTGTCTTTTTACGCGTTGCATTGCATCGCGCTGCATAAACATAAAACATTCAAACAGTGTTGCACGAGCTCACGACTCCAGGGTTCAAAGTCCAAAGCGCAAGGAAAATCTGCGCTGAAACAGAGTTACTCGTCAGCTGCTCAGTAACATTTCTATTAATTTCTTTAAAGGCATGTGACAATGCGATACGTGCGACAAACATCTTCCCTAATTCGTAATGAGAATCATTTATAAATCCATTGTTGTCAACAAGAAGCACTGAGATCTTCCTGCGGGTTTCCACCAAAATAAAAGTTGAGAAAAATCAAGAACTCAATCAACATTCATAAATGTTAGTATTGTAATTTTACTATTCTGTAAAATAAAATTTTTAGTAAGACAATAATAATGATGATAATCATTACAGCAGCTCTATTAATACATTTATTAACATCCACACTTAGTGTTCAAATTGGGATCTGTAATATATTCTAATGTTTTAAAAGAAGTCTCTTCTGCTCAGCAAGGCTGCATTTATTTGTACAGTAAAAAATACAAGCCTGATTCAAAAATGGCCCAAAAATATTATTTTATTAACTTATTAATTTTAAGTTAAATTGTGCTTTGTTGGTATAATGTCTACTAGAATGTTAAAACATGTTCAGTAAAAATGGCATTTTGGCTATTTAATGTATGCAATGGTGAAAATAAATGGCAAAATACAGTACATGGGGGGGAAAAACGTGAAAAAACGTATACGGCCTTCGGCCCAGTGTTTAATTTTGTTTGGCTTTGGCCAAGAATTTTCATTTCGGTGCATGAAAACCTACTGAAAACCCAGAATGTGCTCTTTACAGGACATCCAGACTTGTAACTGTGACATGAAAGATCTCAGAGAAATTCACTCAAATATAGTGTCCACTACAGAGACACAAACTCCACAGCTGGGTCTCAGGAGGATATGGTAGTAAAGTTGGTCACAAGTTGGATTGGTGTTGATCCAGAAATGTTTTACTTGGCTGTATACACAGTTGGTATATAGAAACTCAGTCCCGTGTCTCTGTTCAGAATGTGCTCACAGAATGAAGAAATGTATCCGGTGCCAGGTGACAATAACAAAGAAAATTCGACAAGGTAAGCATTTTAACAGTTGAATAACGATAATATTTTATGTTTTTCATTTTGGTTTATTCAAAGAAGCAGCTTTGGTGTTCCATGTTCCACGATTAACACTTTAGAACAAAATGCAGTTAATAAGAGTTAATAAATCCACATAAGCTCACTGTGTTACGGTCAGCATATGCTCAGCTCTTAATGCATCTTTTTTTTTTGGTAACATTTTGGTAGGGACATTCTATTTGAATTACCAAGAACCACCAAATTTCTCTCAAACACTGGTTGTAGTAAATACTGTCTACTGTTCTGAAGAACTAAGACATGATGTCTTATACCCCATAGTAACCGGTTAAGAAAATGGCTTCAAGTAAAAAACTGGGCTTCATATTTTAGACTAGAGATCAATAAGATGCTACATATATTTGGCCATTCAGTACATTAAGCCGGTTTAGAATGGTTTTCTGTAGAAAAACATTATGGGCTGTTAAGGTGCAAAGAAAGTTAGTCTTTATTATATACATAATAAATATACACAGAACACACATATATTATGCGAACCAAATTTCTCTCAAACACTGGTTGTAGTAAATACTGTCTACTGTTCTGAAGAACTATAAGACATGATGTCTTATACCCCATAGAAACCGGTTAAGAAAATGGCTTCAAGTAAAAAACTGGGCTTCATATTTTAGACTAGAGATCAATAAGATGCTACATATATTTGGCCATTCAGTACATTAAGCCGGTTTAGAATGGTTTTCTGTAGAAAAACATTATGGGCTGTTAAGGTGCAAAGAAAGTTAGTCTTTATTATATACATAATAAATATACACAGAACACACATATATTATGCAAACAAAAACTTTATTTTGCATGCGATTAATCGTTTGACAGCACTATTTAAAATGTTTGAATGTTCTTTTTTTGATATCGCAATAAATATCGTATCGTGGACTTCATATAGAGATATTATCGTATCGTGAGATTTTGATACCGTTACATCCCTGCTTTTAGTTCTTTCTTTGAGCTAATGCTCGCTCCTACATTGTGTTGTGTTTATTGAATTGTGGTATGTTTTGCTTGCATGTCCGTTTCTTGAAAGCAGACCAGACGGAGGTGGAGTGCAGCCCCAGCTCGGAGAACTCGGAGAAGCACAACCTGCTGGAGCAGCTGCAGTCGCGCTACAGACAGATGGAGGAGCGCATCACCTGCCCCATCTGCATCGACAACCACATCAAGCTGGTGTTCCAGTGCGGACACGCCTCCTGCATCGACTGCAGCGCCGCGCTCAAGACCTGCCCCATCTGCCGGCAGACCATCCGCGAGAGGATCCAGCTGTTCGTCTGAGCCTCATCATTCAGTCATGAAGCAGGACCGCGATCACTGGATGGCCCACCAATGACTGCGGTTTGGATCGGTGTCGTCCTCTGAGTAGCATGTGGACATCTGCTCCGACGACCTACAGTATTACCGAGTGAAGAGGAGTTTATACACTTCGTGCCGCTGAAGCGCTAGATTATAGCGAACCGTAAAGCATCCCCAGCATGCAATGAGCGCTGACGTGTCACATCAGCCCTCTCACAAAACCTGTCGGGACCTGGCCATATTTCACACTAAAATCCACAGGAAGAAATCATGTTGTGCAAGAAAAAGAAAATATTGAGATATTTAGCGCTGCATAATAAAATGATTTGATTTTATGACATTCTCACCTGAGTGTTTATGCATCATGGTAGTAAAGTATTTGTTTTACTCTAGCTTTGATTTATGCCAATAGAAACGTTTTTACAGAGAATATAAGGAATATTAATTCTCCTAGATTCATAATGTAATTTATTGCTTTTGTTTGTGTGATTTTCGGGTGAAATATGACCTGGTTTGTTTCCATCAGATCCCACCATATACGGTGATCCAGGGCTTGCTGCTTCAAACACTCACTTCATTCAAAGTCGTTAAAGTGCAGCACTTCATCGGTCGTGTCCCAGCGTCCCTGAGAATGCCGTTCACATCATTTGCCGTCGTTTGTCCGAGGGTGATATTGTACAGATGCCTGTACCTTACCTCTCGCAGAGCTAGAACTTACACAAGCTTTCCACGAGCAAGAGATATACATAATGCATGCTGGTGAGCGTATTATCTACGTCATATATAGTGTCACGAATACCATTTGTAGTGTTATAAGTGCAGATGACCTGTAATTTTTACCCTGTGTCTGTGCGAGGGTCTGACTGAAAGACCCTTAATAACATAATAGTAGATTAATTTGTGGCAGCAAAGGTGCTGAATGCTTCCTAATACTAGGAGTTCTTTAGTTTTTCCTCAGGTTTATGCAAGTCAGTTCAACTCAAAATGCAAGAAATCCCCCGTCTGTAAACTTTACTAAACGTACAACCTTATCCACTGGCATTGCATGACATTATATAAAGTGTTTATTAGCCTCATATCTCCCAAAGTAATGTTTTGCCTAAATGTATTCTGAGATTGAAAGTAATGAATTGGGAACTCTTCAAGGTTGTAGGTCATTGCACCTATAGAACCCATAGAATTTACAAAATTGCGATTTAAAGAAATCATCACTGCTGTCAGTATTTACCCCCATGTCACTCAAAACCTGTATGTGTTTAGTGTGTGCGTGCGTGCGTGCGTGCGTGCGTGAGTGAGTGAGTGAGTGAGTGAGTGCGTTAGTGAGTGAGTGAGTGAGTGAGTGAGTGAGTGAGTGAGTGAGTGAG